GAGAGGAGAGAGAGAGAGAGAGAGAGAGAGAGAGAGAGAGAGAGAGAGAGAGGAGAGAGAGAGAGAGAGAGAGAGAGAGAGAGAGAGAGAGAGAGAGAGAGAGAGAGAGAGAGAGAGAGAGAGAGAGAGAGAGAGGAGAGAGAGAGAGAGAGAGAGAGAGAGAGAGAGAGAGAGAGAGAGAGAGAGAGAGAGAGAGAGAGAGAGAGAGAGAGAGGAGAGAGAGAGAGAGAGAGAGAGAGAGAGAGAGAGAGAGAGAGAGAGAGAGAGAGAGAGAGAGAGGAGAGAGAGAGAGAGAGAGAGAGAGAGAGAGAGAGAGAGAGAGAGAGAGAGAGGAGAGAGAGAGAGAGAGAGAGAGAGAGAGAGAGAGAGAGAGAGAGAGAGAGAGAGAGAGAGAGAGAGAGAGAGAGAGAGAGAGAGAGAGAGAGAGAGAGAGAGAGAGAGAGAGAGAGAGAGAGAGAGAGAGAGAGAGAGAGAGAGAGAGAGAGAGAGAGAGAGAGAGAGAGAGAGAGAGAGAGAGAGAGAGAGAGAGAGAGAGAAGAGAGAGAGAGAGAGAGAGAGAGAGAGAGAGAGAGAGAGAGAGAGAGAGAGAGAGAGAGAGAGAGAGAGAGAGAGAGAGAGAGAGAGAGAGAGAGAGAGAGAGAGAGAGAGAGAGAGAGAGACGAGCTCGCTCGCGCTCTCTCTCGCTCGCTCGTCGCTCTCTCTCTCTCTCTCTCGCTCTCTCTCGCTCTCTCTCTCTCTGCTCTCTGCTCTCTCTCTCTCTCTCTCTCTCTCTCTCTCTCTCGCTCTCTCTCTCTCTCTCTCTCTCTCTCTCTCTCTCTCTCTCTCTCTCTCTCTCTCTCTCGCTCTCTCTCTCTCTCTCTCTGCTCTCTCTTCTCTCTCTCTCTCTCTCTCTTCTCTTCTCTCTCTTCTTCTCTCTCCTCTCTCTCGCTCTCTCTCGCTCTCTCTGCTCTCTCTCTCTCGCTCTCTCCTCTCTCTCCTCTCTCTCTCTCTCTCGCTCTCTCTCCTCTCCTCTCTTCTCTCTCTCTCTCTCTCTCTCTCTCTCTCTTCTCTCTCTCGTCTCTCTCTCTCTCTCTCTCCTCTCTCTCTCTTCTCTCTCTCTCTCTCTCTCTCTCTCTCTCGTTCTCTCCTCTCTCTCTCTCTCTTCTCTCTCTCTCTCTCTCTCTCTCTCTCTCCTCTCTCTCTCTCTCTCTCTCCTCTCTCTCTCTTCTCCTTCTCTCTCTCTTCTCTCTCGCTCTCGCTCTCGCCCAAGTGGCAAACACCACTCACATAAATACCCTCCCCCCATCAATTCCATCAGACCCGCCATTCTCGACACCCCCCCCTAGTGTACAATCACAACACCAGCAATATATTCAAGTACCTAAACAGTACACCCCATAACAAACAACTATCCTGCCCACCCCAGCCCTACTATCAATTACACCATATACAGTGAAAAAATCCATATTATACGACAACATACGATTACACAATAAAAACCTACAAAAAAAAATTCACCATGTACTCAAATCGTAAAAAACCTATTCTTATATACAATCCAACTGAAAACCCCAATATGAAATAAACTGCAT